GAGAGAAAGAGGGAAGGAAGGAGGAGGGAAGGAAGGAGAGGAGGGAAAGAGAGAAGGATCTCTCCTTGATTAGTTTCCACCCATTGCTTCTTGTCCTGAGGTGCTTTGGAGAATAGCTTGACTCCCTCTTCTTTGGGGCAACCCCTGAGATAGTGGAAGGAAGGAAGGAAAGAAGGAGGGAAGGAAGGAAGCAGAGAAGGGAGGGAGGGAGAAAGCAAGGAGAGAAGGAGGGAAGGAAGGAGGAGGGAAGGAAGGAGAGGAGGGAAAGAGAGAAGGATCTCTCCTTGATTAGTTTCCACCCTTTGCTTCTTGTTCTACCCTCAGGTGCTTTGGAGAATAGTTTGACTCCCTCTTGTTCTTACGGCAACCCCTGAGATATTGGAAGACTGCTATCATGTCTCCCCTAGTCCTTCTTTCTATTAAACTAGACCTACCCAGTTCCTGCAACCGTTCTTCATATGTTTTAGCCTCCAGTCCCCTAATCATCTTCGTTGCTCTTCTCTGCAATCTTCTAGAATGTCAACATCTTTTTTTACATAGTGGCGACCAAAACTGGATGCGGTATTCCAAGTGTGGCCTTACCAAGCCATTATATATATAATTAATTAACAGTTTAATTAAATGGGAGGGAGGGGAAGGCTTAAACGCGGGGGGGGAGGGCTTTCTTCCTTTCCCCTCACTACTTGGGGTAACAATATGTGCCTGTCACTGGCTGTATGAAATTGCACAGTCTCATTTTCATAATCTGAAACGATTTCTCAGAGAGCTGTCTGCCTATGAGCCATGAAATGTAAGGGAGCAAGGTTGGTCTGTATATTTTTTTTTCATATCAACTGAGTAAGCAGTAATAAGGAAATTGACATCATTTAAAGGTTTCTTTTTTTCTTTAAAATCATTTTTATGACATGCTACCTACACAAAGGCTTCTCAAAGTGCACATTTTGTCTAATGGAATGATCATAGCGATTGGTATCCCTTTGGAATGAAAATTGACCTCCCCCCACAAAAAAAAACCCCAATGGGTGCTTATTTTGTCTTCTGCCATTCCTGCCATTCACATTTCCACATCGACTCAACTAAAAGGATGTTTGCAAAATCTGTTCCAATTGTAAAATCTCAGTATTTTAAAACCCGCGTCCCCGGCTATTAAAATGACTTCTTGGTGCAAATCACCTTTATTATCTTTTCGACTCAGCAACTCACTTATTCAATGCAATAACTCTTTCAACCACCTGACTGAACATTTGACATTTTTTTGAAAAGCAAGAGAACCTGGGCTGTCATAAATAAAATCTTTAGACACAGCGCAGAAGGGTTCGGATCTAAGCACCAGGCGTTAAACAACAGCATCTGCTACCGTAACGGAGTCACCTCAGTTCAAGAGCAAACCTAAAGAGACGTTTTATTCAAAATAAAAATGTTTCTCCAGCAGGTTTTTCAGGGCAGGGAAAGAGAAGTTTTGTCTGCCTCATTGGGGATCAAATCACCTGCCGTGATGTTGAAGGGCCCCATCAATAAAATCTGACATGTTGCTGATTGTTCCATTAAATCACCAAGGTGGGTTTGAATTGTATTGTTAGGTTAGATGACTTTTCCCTCCCTTTCCTCCCACTCTCCTGCATGGGATGGAAAAATAATTTTGGGGGGGGGGCAAAGGCTTGATTGAAGCCTCTTCTAAGAAAATGGCTGCTCGGCACTAACCTAGCAGAATGACCTTAATGCTTGTCTTATTAGCAAGAGGTTCGTAAGAGAGAGCCTGTGTTTTGGAAGATATCTTGCCAAGATGAAGATGTCTTCTGCCTTTAATGCTTTGCACAAAGAGTGAAATACTTTGACCACCTAATGAGAAGGAAGGACTCACTGGAGAAGAGCCTAATGCTGGGAACGATTCAGGGCAAAAGAAGAAGGGGACGACAGAGAATGAGATGGCTGGATGGAGTCACTGAAGCAGGAGGCATGAGCTTAAATGGACTCCAGAGGATGGTAGAGGACAAGAAGGCTTGGAGGAACGTTGTCTATGGGGTCACGATGGGTTA